GGTGGATAGCTTGGCGAGGATGATGGCACACAAGATCGTGTTGTCATTGTCTTCGAGAGCAGGTTCGCCAGCTAGGATTTGATCCTTGAGTCCTCCAAGCTGAAAAGAGCAGTAATTTGAGTTCTCCATGTAGAAAAGTTTTCTTCGGTCAAGACCGGAATAGCCTCAATTGTCGTTTTTAGAATAGTAGGATTTAATAGCGTCCATCTCCGACAGGTGTTAGTGTTTGGTTTGGAAGTTGATGAATGGTTGAGAACAGTTGAGCGTATTTTGACTGTTAATCGTATTGAATTTCAGGTTAAATTACTAAACAACCAAAACCAAACTGAAAGAGCAACAGGATCAGTTAGAATGAAAAACAACAATGAAATAAGAGAAAGCAAGAAACACATGAGTCCAGACTGAAAGAAAAGAGTTTGAGGCATACCACTAAGCAGATGGTAATGTTAAGAGTTGAGGACTTTTTTATAGAATGGATATGGAGAAGCGGTAGAGTCTGAGCAAGCTAGAGATGAAGAAAAACAGACGGGCCAATGGAGGAAAGAATTCAGCGAAATCATATCAAACACGGAAAGAGAAAGAGAGAGAGAAATAAGAGAAAGTATAAGAGAAGAAACAACAAACAGCAAGAAAGAAAGGGCAAAGAAGCTATAGGTTTTCAGGGACCTAGACAAGATATAAGCTGAACAGGATCTGGAAAGGAAAAAAGGAATGAGATGCAGAAAGGAGATGTGGATGAGCTGTGTGAATGTTATTGGTTGATTCAGAGCCAGTTGGAGACTTTACAGGTGTTCGGATATTGTTGACGAGTAGTGCGGCGGGATTTTTCCTAAGGAGCCGGAAGCCTTGAAGCGAGAAGTCTTGAAGCGAGAGCGGAGCGAGAGAACCAATGAGTTGATGGTTAAAGAACTAGGTGAAGCGAGGCGGTTTCCGATGATGACTTGGTGGATCAACCCTAACCGGTTGTTGTGAGGATTTGCGAGTCTCACATCCAGACACGGTCTGCGGAGTTGTCACCTTTCACAGGAAAAACTCAACAAGATGATTCAAGGGTATCCGTTGCGGATACCCACTATCCCCTGGCGGATACCCGCCAGGGGGTGCGGATTTGGCTGCAGATGGCCGTTTTCCCGCCCAAATCTGGCGGATATCCGGGTATCCCCACAGGTACCCGAGGCCAAAGGCCGGCTGGAAGGGTTTCCTTCCAGCCGGCGAGGCCCTTCCAGTTGGCAAGGATGTACCGTGCCGGCTGGAAGGAAGCCCTTCCAGTTGGCAAGGATGTACCTCACCAGCTGGAAGGAAGCCCTTCCAGTCAGCAAGGATGTACCTTGCCGACTGGAAGGAAACCCTTCCAGTCGGCAATGATGCACCTCTCCGGCTGGAAGGAAGCCCTTTGTCAGGCTTGGTGATGCCAAGACAATAGGTCTTCTAGCTACACCAGCTGATGAGGCTGGTTTGGTAGGGGATGAAGAAGAGATAGATGAAAGGAATTGAGGGGCCCAGGTTGATGGGGGTTTTTACGGTGCCCTCAGGGATACAAGCCTGGTCTGATATAATAGAGACCGGTATTGGCTTCTACGGGGTCTCGAGCGTAGTCAAGGGTATTTGGTCCGTGTATCTGAGTGATAGACAGAGGAATAACCAATAAAGGTATTCCCCAGCAAGAAATCCTAGCACTCAAGGGCAAAACTTACAGGGTAGATCTGTGGTGCTCTGAGTGGGGTGTGCTGGGTAGTGGAATGATATTTGGAAAAAGAGGTAAACTGGAAAAGGATGGGGAAAACTAGTAAACTGGGAAACTGATGATTTCTAGATACCTGGTTTAATGGTTGCTTTTATATTGTAGGTACCAATACTGGATGCTTGGAAAGGGAAATGGAGTTCACCGGTCATCTCTGAGAATCTGAAATGATGTATAATTTTCCAGGAGCTTTGACAGGGGAAATCGGCCCATCTCATGTCACAGTCTCCTGTCATGATGTCTTTTAATATGTCACTAGTTTCTGTAAAGGACATTTTATGTCATTCATTTTTGTAATATTATTTGATTATTAAATCTATTACTTATTATCATGAGTTATTTATGGAAATATTGCAGGTCAGCTTGACTCTGTAATAGTAGCAAGCTGACATTTCCTCCCCACAAAATTATGTCCCCTTCAAGAAGGGATGGAAGATACAGAAATAAATTGATGATAAGATGAAAGTTTCCAGGATGTTCCAGGAAGAGAAATTGAAGCATCAAGAGTGAACATAAGTTTATCATGATCCTGAATCTATTGGTCCACCAATTTACATATCAGCTTCAGACCAAAAACTTCATTCATAAAATTACTGTTTTATCAAGATTTATATTCAGTCATAGAATTCCTTTGTATCAGAAGATCTTTCTGAATAACCATTATGCACCTTTGAATACCTCCGTATATTCCATGAATGCTATTTGCATAATCATTCCTGAGCCCACATGCCTAAAGTTCTCAAAGGTTGATATACATTTTTATCATATATCAAATGATTGTACTGAATTTAACTGTATGTCAACACATATATCAATTGGGTTTTTTTTTTTAGCATTACTTCTCTTTGTGCTTCTTATCCTTACACTTCACTTGCTCTTTATTCCTGAAGAAATGGTCACCTCAATTTACCTAAGATGTCACATTTTCTTGCCCTACAAATTATTATTCAAGTGCAATACATTATTTTTCTATTCAGTGATAATTATTCAGATTCATTTGGACACTTTGTTATTGTATTTTTCTGTTCATTTTTGCATCTATTCTTGATTTGATATTCCAGTCAGCTTGTCTTTGAACTAAAAACAAGATGACATTTCCTCCCCTCAAAATTAGGTCCCCAAAAAGACAAGCAGGAAAAAAATCAAACATATTTGTATACAAATATACCAGCAAGAGATGCTTTAGATTATGCAGGGTGTGTAGGGAAAGGAGCAGAAATAACTCATCTTCTAAGTTCTTCATAATCTTGAATTCTTTCAAAATTAACTTCAAACTAGAAACATCACACAAGATTTCAGTGGTATCATCGAGCTAGGAAAGGATAATCCTGGATTAAATACAGGAGTCCAAGGGGGATTATATATGTTTGGGTGTGAGTTTATAAACACCTGGTGTCTCATATTACAAGTTATTATAATCAATATAATTATACAAGTTATAAAATTGAAGTATTGAGCCTTTATTTCTTAAAATTTATCAGTTGCAATTTCATCCTGCAGTTAGGTTGGAGAAATTTTTGAGAGAAATTGAGTATATGAGTTCAAAGAGGCAGAAAACAAAAGGAAGAGATAGTGCCTCAGGTCAGATAGCACTTCAAAGAGGAGGAATGTGTTTGCTGACAAGATCTTTGGGTATAGTTAACAGCCCATGAGTACTAATATCCTTCACATAAACATTTGAACTTATCTGGCAATTGCAAATTCCTATAGTTTCTGCCAGTTAAATCTGTTTGTGGGGTGGTCTGAGATCAAATAGATCTCTCTCATTTCAAGGACCTTGTACAAAACATCTAGAGATGTGCTCAAACCTGATAGGTATCTTTCCACTGAGTCCGACTAAAATCTCTCAAGACAAATAAGTCTGTTATTATCTGAGAAAGCTGTGTAAAATAACTAGCTCTTCAGTCACCTTGTCTTGCCGAGTATAATCACATATTGGTTAGTGAGCCAATTTTGGTGGTAGGAAAAGCCTGAGTAATTTCAAGCGAGATAGTTTTGTTTTGGGAGCATGGGTTGCCCCTGTTGTTTGATATGCAGCTGATATTCTGCAGTATGAAGTTTTTGTAGTGCAGGAGTACCCATCAGTTAGATCATCTTGAAAGTTTGCGAACTGGGTGTAGCGAAACCAGTGTGGGTTGTTTAATTCCCAGTGAAATACTCTATCCAGTTGGGCCTAAAAGGTTGCAAGACTTGAGACTTAATTAAGACATTCAAAACAGGTAATGAATTAACTCAAAAAGCTCACTATGCGGATTACAAGAGTATTGCATCAGCTGTAGCAAAGATGATTCAATCACAGTGTGCTATTTCAACAGTTCGCGAATGCAATGAGGATGATAGATGGATCTCAACACCTTGAAAAATCAAAAGGTGCTTAGCCAAGTTCAGGTTCCAGTTGGAAAAACTGTCATGAATAGAGGTTTGTTGTGAGGGATTGATCCCTGTTAGTGTTGGCTTGAAAGATTAGACATTTATTTTGTTGTGCTTGTTTCAGGTAAGTGAAGCGAGCAACGAATACACCTGTAGTCAGGCAATATGAGAGATTCATCAGATGTACGGCTTTCTTACAAGTAGTCTCTGCTATCATCTTTGTTCCATTTTAGTTTTCTTAGCGATCTGTTTTTCGGCAACAGCAAGATCTCATTGGCAGTGAGAGATTTGAGTTTGATTTATTGTTGGAGTGAGCTGATTGCATGTTGATGGTAAGGATGGACCAGATGGTTTTGGTCAATGAAGATTGAGGATGAGATTCAGTCTCGGATATCTAAGAGGGTCTTGGGAATTGATCGTTAGGTGGAGGTCTTGAGGGTCTTTTGTCAAAGGTTAAAATTTATTGACAAGAAAACAATGCCTTTGTGTGTTGGTGCCGGAGGAAGATGAGTCCAGTTGATGGTGTGGATGTAAGTTTGTATGAACAGTGAGGGGCAGTTCCACATGCAACCAAGAATCTGTCTATGCGAGATAGGTCTGTCTAAGCGATGAGACTTTCTTCTAACTACTTGCTGCTCTTATTCGTGAGCTTTTAAACTCTGGGATTCTTTTATTAATAATTAGTGGCTATTGTTACTGTTTCTGGAGTTTTACTTGGAACTGAGCAGCTCCCAGCCGATAGGATTGTAGTTTGTACAAGTACACATAATCATATTGATGAAGATGAATAGACACAAGGAGTTTGAAAAGGAGTATCTCTAAAAAACGAGACGTCTACTCAGGGCGGTGAAAACAGTACAGTGTGGATGGTAAGTGGATTAAATGGATATTATCGTGCTTCTTGGAGGTCGCAAAGATGGCAGACAATGTTGACCGAGCTAATTTCAGTAGCCAGAAGTGTCGCGAACAGATGCGCAAACGAGTCGGTATGAGGCAGCCATGAGTATATGAGCCAGGGATCCAAGTTCGAATCCATCTCAGCCCCCTCTAGAGGAGTGACTGGTTTAAGTCAGATTGTTGTGACGGAACAGAGGGGGGTTTCGGGTTAGAGGTGAATTGGGAGGGCAATGTCGAATCGATACCGTTCGTAAGAGGTTCATTTTGCGGAGCCAAATGTCGATTGTTGGTTGATAAGCACGACGAAGATTGTTTCTTGAAGCAATGGCCAGGAATACCCTCAGAGTGATTTTTGCTGCTATCTTTGTCGAAGTCTGGCTCGAAAGGAGATGATGATGATGATGATGATGATGATGTAGTTTCGCCGTCTTCCTCGTCTGAAAACTCTAAGGGCACCATTACGGTATAGAGCATGTTGAGATCATCTTCGTCCTTGTCATGACTTTCATCACTAACTTCTTCCTCACTTTCCTTATCTGGAAATCCTTCGAGTGCCCGGCCAATGAATTTGTGGGCCTTGTTTAATCCGCCTTTAAAGAATGCCATACTATTGGTATATGGGGTCTTTGAATCGAAAACGGATTGTGATTGGTCTCGAGTGCTGAAGGCTGGCAGGACTTTGGCTTGATTATAGACGTCGGATGTGTATTCCTCTGATGTCGGAGACATGGTACCAGAAGCATTGATTGGTAAAAGTCTGAATGCTTTGGAATCTAGGCCTTTCAACTCATCAGCTCGAGTGAGAGAAGAGACCGGCTGAATGACAGGACTGCCGGAACCTGCAATGAGGCTCTTCCTCTTCTTGCTAGACGAGGTCTCTTGGAGTAGATTGTTGTTGTGGTTTAGGTTTGTGCGATTGAGTTTGCTCTGGTTTTCAGGATTGGATAGCTTAGTGTCAGGAGATAACAAGAGGTGAGCACGACTGCTGGGTGTTGTTATTGTGCTAGAATCTGGAAGATAATCATCCAAGTGTTCGGGCCAGAACTATATGGTTCTGAATCTACAGACTCATGGAGTAAGTAGGAATGAGTGTGGGGGGAGGGAAAGCTGGGAGAGGTCGGTGGACTGTCAAATTTCTGAAAGGGTGGAGCTGGTTGGTTAACAGGCCCGAACAGAGTATAGTCAGAAAGAAAAGTGATGATAAACGATCTCAAAAGGAGGGTCTTGAACGGTTGGGATGTGAATCATATTATCAAGGTGTGAACAGTCTAACTGGTCGGTTATAGTAGACTTGAAAGAAGTTAAGAAAGTAAGGGGTCAACAGTGAACTGTTACAGGGAAGAGGCTTCTTAAGCTGGCTTTATTCTTTCTGGTAAGCGTTATATTTGCAAGGAGTCTTGTTGATGAGTAATTAAGCGGCTAAATTATTGTCTTGTTTGCAATGGATGCAAGCAATAGCAATTGGGAGCTGTTCTTCTTGACTTAAAAACTCCGAGTTGGTTGAAATCCTTTTATTTATTTTTCTTGCTCATCGAAGCGGAATAAGATGATGCATTGATATGTTGTTTCAAAAAGGAACAGAGTGTATTGTATTGAATTGAGTAGGCCAAAGTCGTTTTGGAAGT